GTGAGGCCCCCTCCACACTTCCCTCTGAGGGGTGGCCTCACAGTCTACAACATGGGGAAAGGCAGAGGACCGAGAGCCACCAAAAGCCCATCTCTGGCCCGCTTGTCGCCTGCTCCAAGAGAGGTACGTGCCTCTTCTCATAGCCTGGGAGACACCTGCCTGGACTCTGGCCCATGGCAGCCGCCCTGATGCACAGGCTGGGAGTGATGGGAACAGAGCAGCAGACAACTGTCTACTCGGCTGCCACGAAGGAAGCCTAGAATCATCTTCGGATATGAATTGCTCAGTGGAGGGGTTAGAAAAACCAGAAACTTCAGATGCCTGGTAGCCAGAGGCCCCAGAGAAGAGCCTTGCCCAGCCCGGGAAGAGCATGCTGTGTCCCACATAGGTACATTGAAGCTTGGGTGCCTTAGGGACTTGCCTGAGTGGGCCCCACAGTGACAGCCAGACTCTGCACCAGTGGTCCTAGAAGACAGAGGGTGGGGGGGGGGGGTCGGGTCAGAGTCCTTGTCCTGTCCTGACAGTCTGTGATTGTCAACTGGGGGCGGTTGTGCCTCCCAGGGGATCTTTGGCAATGTCTGGGGGACATCTTGGGTTGTCACGACTGGGGAGACTATTGCTACTGACATCTGGTTGTAGAATCCAGTGATGTTGCTGACAGTGTACAGTGTACGGGAAGCTCCCCACTGCACCTCATAAAGAATTATGTAGTCTACGATGTCAGTGCTGAGGTTGAGAATCCCGGAGACAGCCTCGTCCCAGGCTCTGCCAGCAGCGCAGGGAAGATGGGCCGCTGCATCCAGAGCTCTGGGGACCTAATGTCCCTGCTCTCACTCCTTGGGGGGGGGGGGGCGCTGCTCTCAGGCATCCTGTCGAGGTGTCCACTGAAGTGGGTGAGGCATGAACACCACAGCCAACCCTCCTGAGTAATTTGAGAGAGAAGCTTATAAAGCGTTTTAAGAGGTTGCTAAATTACAACTTCAGTAGCACATAAATGCTTCCATAAACGCCAGTCTGTGTGGGAGAAGAGGAAGCAGGTTGCCTGAGCCTTGGGAAATCCCACTTGGTGAGGCGGCAGACGGAGTTTACCTCTGGTGGTTAATTCTCAGGCGCTCCTCCCAGCTTGTGTAACTATCTGGAGTGCTTTGTTTATTTGTATTATTCCTTCCCTGTCCAAAGCGTCTGCATTGACCATCTCCGGTCATCTGTACTGACCCATCTCTCAGGGACTAAGGGGCCAATGTAGGCTGCCCCAGGGTCCTAATTCTACTCTCCTAGGTTCAGAGACCTGTGGGTCACAAAGGAAACTGTCCCTTTGAGGGCTCACATTGGCGATCCTTAGTCTGTCACAACTATAAACCATCATCAAAGATGATCCTGTGTAAGCAGTATTTCTAGAGCACACAGCGGTTCACAAAATACTCTTATGTCTGTTCCGTTTGATTCTCCTCGTATCTGTGGGAAGAGGCAGGGCAGGCTGATGACCTCCACTGCTCTGATGGGGACATGCCAGACGGTGATGGACAGTGATGGGCTCACATCACAGGGCTGATGATCTGCAGAGCCACCATTTGGATCTAGATTCTCTGGGTCCTAGATTCTGGGTGCCTGCACTTGACCTTGGATATGTGAGAGAAGCAGCGGGGACACCAGAGTATAGGGTTTGGGTCTGAGAGCCCTGGGCTCATGTCCAAGCTCTGTCACTCACTGCCTGTTCACCTTGAGCAAGCTAATTTTTAGCCCTTCTGAGTCTCTGTTTCTACGTGGGTGAAATGGAGACAGGACCGCCTGCCTCCCGGGATGGCTGTGAGGTATAAATGAAGTAACTCTGGGCCCTGAACATGGTAGCTCCGTGAATTGTCCTTCCCTTTGCCCCCTTTCAGCCCTCCCAGGGGCGCAGGCGCGGGAAGTGGATGGAGGTGACGAGTGGACAGACTGGGCTGCTCTGGGGAAGGCATGCGGAGAGAGCAGGAACCAAATGTCATGTGTGGGGCCACTCCCGATTTATGGGATCTGGTGCACAGACTTTGAAGAGGCAATAAAATTCATATTCTGACAGGAAATGACAACAGACAAAAGTCCTGACTTAGCAAACAAAATTCAAATTTTTTTTTATGAGGTAAGGAATTCTGGATGGGTAGCAAAAAAATCACGTTCTGATGAGATTAGCTTTCTGGAATAAGAATAGGCTTTCCCAAGAGAAACATGCCAACACCCCGTGGAGACTGTATATAAACACTCCAGAGAACCTTGAGAATCTAGAACCTGAGCTCCTCACCTCACTGTGACCTGCCTCTGCTAGGATCATGGCCACCCAGCTCTGCTCCCCGCTCTTCTCCTGTGGGTCTGTCAAGGGCCTGTGTGGCGCCGCAGGCGGCATCTCTCGGGTGTCCTCCGTCCGCTCTGTGGGCTCCTGCAGGGTCCCCAGTCTTGCTGGTGCCGTGGGGTCGGCCTCCTCTGTCAGGCTGGGCCTCTCCAGCCTCGGGAGCTGCTTGCCTGGCTCCTACCTGGCCGCTGGCTGCTACCCCTCTGGCTTTGTCGGGAGCGGGGGCTGGTTCTGCGAGGGCGCCTTCAACGGCAATGAGAAGGAGACCATGCAGTTCCTGAATGATCGCCTGGCCAACTACCTGGAGAAGGTGCGCCAGCTGGAGCGGGAGAATGCGGAGCTGGAGAGCCGCATCCGGGAGTGGTACGAGTCTCAGATCCCGTACATCTGCCCGGACTACCAGTCCTATTTCAAGACCATTGAGGACCTCCAGCAGAAGGTAATGGGGATCTGCCTTTCCCCAGCATCCCCAGCCCTAGGTGGGGGTGGGGTGGTGGTGATGGTTGGGGGGTAGATTCTGTCTCATCCCAAGGGACTACAGACAGATGGCAGCTCTTAGGGACTGCTCTGTTCAGGGCTAGGTTTTCTGGTGGGGGGGACCCAGACCTCTCTGTGAGTCTCTCGCTGTGTGTATCTGCCACCTTCCCCCTCCTCCCCTGGCTGTCTTAGCTACAGGAAGGGCAATAACATGTCCCCAGCCTCTATCGGATGCAGGCACAGCGCCTGATGCTCTCCCTTCTGTCGGATTACTTAGTCCTCATCTTGGTGAGATGGGTATTACTGGGCCCATTTAACAGCTGCAGAAGTTAAATATCCGGGAGTTTCGTGCCCAAGATCGCATGGTGATGTGAGTGTTAGATGCAGGATCTGAATCCAGGTTGGCTTGGTTCTTTCCACCTCACCCAGCAGCCTCCTGCTGTGCCATTCCAGGGTCTGCTTCGAGTGATGCCCTTCCTGGGGCTGATGCTCCCTCCATGTCTGGGCTCAGGGCTCAGGGCTGGGTGTGCTGGTGGTACTGAGAAGCATGCCCTCTGTGAGCTGGCCCTTGCCCAGCTCCCGGGACACCCTTTGTTCCCCAGATCCTGCTGACCAAGGCCGAGAACGCCAGGCTAGTCCTGCAGATTGACAACGCCAAGCTGGCTGCCGATGACTTCCGGACCAAGTGAGTGGGCCTCCTCGGGGAAGGTCCGTTGTGCCTTCCCTTGCCTCTGTCCCCGGCCTTGGGAGCTGGGGAGGTGGGAGTAAGGCCAGATGGAACTGTAAGTGGGAATGCGGCACAGGCCCTGGATCCCTTCCGGGTCAACGGAAAGGCCCATCGTGCCACGGACTCCAAATCAGTCACTGCAGCTGATGGAGGGCGGGGGACCCTGCCTGTGCGTGGCTCCTTCGCTGCTGACCCAGTAGGGTTGTGTGTGTGTGGGCAGGTACGAGAGCGAGCTGGCCATGCGGCAGCTGGTGGAGGCCGACACCAACGGCCTGCGCAGGATCCTGGACGAGCTGACCCTGTGCAAGGCTGACCTGGAGGCCCAGGTGGAGTCTCTGAAGGAGGAGCTGCTGTGTCTCAGGAAGAACCACGAGGAGGTGAGGTTGCTGCCAGGTGACCTTCCAGGGTCCCCTGGTGACCCTAGGGGCTAACAACTGTGAGAGCCACTCCCCCGGGAGCTCCTACTGACATTAGTTGACGTCACACTGTGTGCTTGGAGCTGTTTGAAACACTTTACATTTCATTCTCCTTTCATTTCGTCCTCACAATGAGCCCATTTTACAGTTGAAAAAAACGAGACACAGAGGAGTTAAGTCACTTTCCTAAGGCCACACAGATCAGATTCCACACTCCTACCCAGGACACTAAATCTCGCTCTGGATGCTATTGCCTGATAACATTTATTCTATTTGCCTGACATTTGCATCCTCTCACCCCACCCTCCCGAATCCCTAGAGGAGGCATGTGTATGCCTGTGAGGGGACCGAGGCCCAGAGAAGTTAATATCTTAACGTTACCCAGCCAGCATCTGAGGGAGGAGGGTTTGTACCCAGCCACTTGAACCCTCGATCTGGCACCCTTTCCACACCCCTGTGCCATCCTGCCTCCTCTCTGCAGGAAGTCAACACGCTCCGTTGCCAGCTCGGGGACCGACTGAACGTGGAGGTGGATGCTGCCCCGCCAGTGGATCTCAATAAGATCCTGGATGAGATGAGATGCCAGTATGAGGCCCTGGTGGAGAATAACCGTCGTGACGTGGAGGCCTGGTTCAATGCCCAGGTGGGGCTGGGGCCGCCGAGGGTGGGGGCCACAAGCTCCCGGGGCAAGGGGTTTCCCCTTTAAAGTGGCTTCACCTGGTCTGACCATGCTCTGGGCCGTCAGACCGAGGAGCTGAACCAGCAGGTGGTGTCCAGCTCGGAGCAGCTGCAGTGCTGCCAGACGGAGATCGTCGAGCTGCGACGCACGGTCAACGCCCTGGAGATCGAGCTGCAGGCCCAGCACAGCATGGTGGGTGGCGTCTGCCCTAGAGACTGGCCACAGCTGCTGGCAAAGCCCTGACCCCCTCAGCCTCAGCATGCGGGTTATCGTGGGGGTGTGAGCACACAAGATATGCAGATGCCCAGGGCTACAGGGTCCCTGGCTGGGACTCCCTCCATTGGCAGCTCTTCCTCTTTCCCCACACAGAGGAACTCCCTGGAATCCACCCTGGCGGAGACCGAGGCGCGCTACGGCTCCCAGCTGGCCCAGATGCAGTGCCTGATCAGCAACGTGGAGGCCCAGCTCGCCGAGATCCGCTGTGACCTGGAGCGACAGAACCAGGAGTACCAGGTGCTGCTGGACGTCAAGGCCCGGCTGGAGTCGGAGATCGCCACCTACCGCCGCCTACTGGAGGGCGAGGACTGCAAGTGAGTGGCTGTGGGCCCCGGAGAGCCAGGTGTGGGGACAGGGACCCCGGGACCAGCCCTCAGTGCCTCAGAGAGGGTATCAGTCTGCAATGGACGACAGGGGTGGATCCAAAAGCCTCTGCCTTGAGATCCCTTCCCATCCCAGCTTCGTCATCACAGGGGGATAAGCCGCCCCCCACCCCCTCACCCCTCCCACAGTGCTTTCCCAACCATCGAGCTTAGCTGGGAGTTCCTTGTCTTCACCCCTGCAGCCCTTGGGGGGGTTTCAGGGGCACCGAAGCCATCGATTGTTGTCGCCCACCTGTCCTCACTCTAAATCCGTTGAACATGAATCTCAGTCCGATGCCCCGACGTCAAGTGCACTCTGATATGATTTCATTTCCTCAGGCTGCCTGCCCACCCTTGTGCCACGGAATGCAAGCCTGCAGTTAGGGTACCTTACGTCCCGAGCGTGCCCTGTGCTCCGGCTGTGCCCTGCGGTGTGGTTCCCCAGGTCAGCACCCAGATCCGCACCATCACCGAGGAGATCAGAGACGGGAAGGTCGTCTCCTCCAGGGAGCACCTACAGCCCTGCCCGCTGTAGACAGCCCCCCGGAAGGACACCCTGTGGCTCCTGGCTCTAAATGACCCCCTCCCCCATTCCCTAGAGGAGTTCCCCGCTCAGCAGATTTTTTTTCTACCAAAATAACTTCTTGTGTTGTGTCTCTGGACTTAGCTGCCTTTATGCTATGCAACACTAGGTTCCCCTGGGATTATACCCAATAAACTGTGTTCTCTTGGCATCACAAACTTGACTGTGTTCTTATGAGGTTAGTTCGTGGGATGTCTGGTCAATGGTTACAGTGAAGCTGTGGGGTCTGGTTTCAGGTCTGTCTTCTCTGGGTCTGAGTGGTAGGAAGGGACAGGGTGATTAAAAATATTTAATAATGGGGACACCTCATGCCCTGGCCCATGAGAACAGACACTGACCCAATCCAGATGGGCACAGCCATTACCCACAGCCTCAGCCCTGCCCATGGGGACCCACCTGGGTGGCCCCGCAAGGGGCAAAGGCTCTCTCCGTGGTCACCCTGCCTGCCTCTGGTGTTTCCCTCTCCTTCCCTTTAGCTTCTCCTCCTCAGTCCAGCTTCCGCTGCCCTGCTGGGCCACCCTCAGGCCCAACACTGGTGACAGTTCAGGAGAGGGGTTTTCCAGGACCAGCCAGGGAGAGGCAGATGGCAGGCAGCGAGCCTGGGCAGACCACCTTGGGGAGGGGAGCTGGAAGATGAGGGAAGGGGGCAGGTGACCCTCTGTCCCCAGTCCTGGATACAGGGCTGAAGTGAAGGGTGGCAGAGACAGTGAAGTATGGGGGGGTCAAGTATGGAACAGAGGGGACGGAACCTCACTGTGGGGCAGAGGTCAGAGTACCCCAAAGCCTGCTGGCTGAGCTGCACCCTTCTAGGCATCCAGCCTATCTGTGCCAGGACCTGGGCATCCCTCTGGTCAGAGAAGCATGGCCTATGAGAACTCTGAGGGCCCCATGTCTTCTTTGTCCCCCTGATTTGTTCTTTAGCTGAGAAGACAGGCCCAGAGAGGACAGTGGCTTGCCTGGGGCCACACGGCAGTGAGTGGCAGAGAAGAGGCCAACGTCCAGCTATTCAATTCTGACTGTGGAGCTCTTCCCAGTGCATAGTGTCTCGCCCCACCCCTACCCAACCTGAATCATTGCTACCTGCTGGACAGGCCCCGCTTCCCTCTGTGCTCTGCGCTCCTGCTCTGGGGCCTGATGTCTGCCACTCCCCACTCTGGCCTGAGGCTCTGGAGACGGTGGGCGGAGAGGTGGGCAGCCGGGTGTGCACAGAGCACATCCCAGCCTTGCTTGCTGGCTCAGGGAGACGGCCAGGGAGCGGGCGGCCGCTGAGCCTTCTGTTCCGGCCGCCGCTCGAGTGGCGCTGCTATTGCAGGCCGACAGGCCACACCGGGTCATGTCTTGGCAGATAATCACACTGTCAATGCCTCGCTCTGTACAGCATGTCCCCTTTAGGTATGCACTCGACAGTTTGTGGAGAGCACTGACAGCCTGGTCTCAGGCACTCAGATTGCCCTGTGTGGTTGTAGGGAGGTGCTTTCTTTTCTTCTTGTTTTAAAGTTTATTTATTTATTTTGAGAGAGGGAGAGAGAATCCCAAGCAGGCTCCACCCTCAGTGTGGCACCTTATGTGGGCTCAGTCCCACAACCGTGAGATCATGACCTGAGTGGAAACCAAGAGTCAGTCACTGGGGCACCCAGGTGGCTCAGTAGGTTAAGTGTTTGAGTTAGTCTCAGGTCAAGATCTTGAAGTTCATGGGTTCAAGCCCCATGTTGGGCTCTGTGCTGACGGCTCAGAGCCTGGAACCTGTTTTGGATTCTGTGTCTCCATCTCTCTCTGCTCCTCCCTTGCTGTGCTCTGTCTCTGTCTCTCAAAAATAAATAAACATTAAAAAACAAAAAGAAATTCCAGAGCATCTGCACTGGTTAGGGAGCCCCTCCTATTCTCGACCTCATGCCCACACTTAACGGTGCTCCAGTTTAAATCACCAGCCTCTGTGCAAACCAGAACTCAGCACTTTTGCTCAGCACTACTGGGGACCGGCATTGGCACCCGAGGGGCAGGCTTCGGACATCCCTGCAGACTTTTCGACTCTTATGACATTGCTCTTTTCTCGACACCGAGAGAGGTGATACCAAACATTACATTTTATCAAATTTCCCCAGAGTGAACATAATCCTTTATTTCAAGGTGGTTCTGAAATTGTTTATACTTTGCAGAACTGGTCTCTGGCTATCTTTCTTCTTCACACACACTCCAGTCAATTAATCAATCATCACCTTGTGCTTGAAAATCCCAGTGCTAATGCAGGGGTACATCCAGGGAGAAGTGGGAGCAGGTGGATCAAATGGTGGGTCACAGGCCTCCAGCCCTCAAGAAGCCGACAGTCCGGCTGGGGGACAGCCACACAGCACCAGGCATGGCGGGTGTGGGTGTGGGGCAGGCTCTCAGCTTCTCAGGATGGGGAGGGATCACTGAGAGCTGGGGGGTTACAGAGATTTGGAATTAATGGAGCCTTTGAAGGATAGGCAAGCAGGATGGAGGAGGGCAAAGGGTATTTTAAAGCATAGCCAAGTGTACCCATGGCATGTTCTGGGGACAGTGCACAGCCCATCTCAGTGGAGTGCACGGGTCCTGTCGGGAAAGTAATTAAGATACTTACTGAGCAACATTCATTCTTGCTGATAAGGGGTTCTAGGTCATTATTTCGTTTTAATAAAAAGAATGCTGAGGAAGAATGGAAATAGACCAGAATGACTTAGAGGCTACTTCATAGCTTTAAAAATATTACTTATATGTCTTATAAAATTATCTAAAAAAAAACTTATCAGGAATGTTAAGCCCCAGAACAGGCTGGTGGGCCTGTCTCCTTTTGGCCCAGAGAACACTTTGTCAGTGTTCGAACGGGCAGGTGCTTCTCCCTACACAGAGCTACCCAATCTCTTTCCATCTCTGAGCCTCAGTTTCCCCATCTATAACAGTAAAGATAGTAAGTCTGGCTTTGGAAGGTTTTTCCCCCTCCCAGCTCCCTACCCAATTTTTTCCTCCTTCCTTCATTATCTGTCCCCCACCCCTCGCCCCTTTTATGTTCCTTTTCTCTCAAAATCATTTCTTTTCTTTCTCACTTAGCACAATTCACCATGGGCAAAGCATTCATTCATTCATTCATTCATTCATTCATTTATTCTTTCATTCTGAGACATCTGGGAGCTGGCTCCATGCTTGAACTATAGAGATTTCAGAAGAAGTCGGAGGTCTATCCTTGTCCCCCAAAACTTACAGTCTCCCTGGGAATACAGGGTTCAGACACAAGACAATTTGAGGGTACCAGTGAAGGGAGGGCCAGCAGATCAACCAGCAGTCACTGCCATGGGCGCGCAGAGCCAGTAGGGCAAAGCAAGCCTGGAGCAGGGGTAGGCTCCTGAAACATTCCAAGTCTCAGTTTACTCATTTACTAAATGGGGGGATATTGGCGATGCTAATCTCATGAGATTGTTGTAAGCAGTGAATGAAAGAACACCTGGAGAGAGCTCAGCATGGGACCTGGCAGGTACTAAGTGCTTAGTGAATGATGGCTGGTACCATCAGCCTCGCTATTAATAGGGCTCCATCAGGAGACAAACCCCTTCTGGGCAAAGGCCTAGGAACCCATGTGACCCCCAGGGGTCACATGTATAAACAGCATGGGGCTTCTCAGGCCTTTTTTACTGTGGTTTCTCTGGGCTCTCTGCATCCAGGGTGGCCCTTCAGCCCAGAGCATGGGAGGCTCCTCAGGGTTTGGGTGGAGCCCTGCACTCACATGATGGGAAACACGAACACCAAAAGGCTCATCCAAGTTCTCAGCTAAGCTGCGTCCTTTGCACTGAGGCATGGATTTCCAGGGAGGAGAAGGTGAGGCAGCCAATAGTCCCTGGAACTGTGTTGGGCAGGTACTGGTCACACCAGGCTCCTGGGTGTGGGAAGGGCAGGGTGACTCATGAAAGTTTTATATCTGAGGGCCCCCAAACGCATGCACCTGGCCTGTGGGATGGTGGCCTAGGTGTTCAGAGCCCATCTACACTCCCTAGTGACAACTTCTTAGCGTTGTTAGCTTGAGCACAGCAAGACTCCGCCCATGTGGTGACCGGTGTTCATAGCAGTTGGCGTTCCTGAGCACTTACCATGAGCAGGTGCTGTTTCTACATGCTTTTTAATCCTCAGAGCAGCCCTAGGAAGTAGGCATTGTTATCTTCTTTCCATTTACAGAGGAGGAAACAGAGACATGGGGAGAAGTTCAAGCAC